GTTTAATCAAGAAGGTCTTTTTATAGCCCATTGGGAATTGATCTGTTTCAAATTTTTCAACATGTTCAAGAAAATGTCCTTCCTTTGCTAGTGAAGAAAGAATTAGATTTTATGATCAGTACGTACTGGTGCCCGCTTACAAAGTACGTAACATTGTCTTCATTTTTAAGGCTCATTATATAAATTGTAATTTAGAAGAACTTGGGATTTAATTCTGCAAGTGGTAATCCAACTTAGACTTATACACATATACAAACACCCTTTCTAAGGAGGAAATTCTTCAAAATCATGTCACTTTTGAATATTTTTAATATCCCAAAGAACCAAAGTGAATTTAAACAACCATGTATTTATTGGATTCCAAAACTTCATAAGAATCCTTACAAAGAAAGATACATAGCGGGTTCCAGTCAATGTTCAACCAAGCCTCTTTCTTCACTCCTCACTAAGATATTAACAGTAGTGAAGGAGAAACTTCAAGAGTACTTGCAACAATATGTGATTATTCAAGAATTCCAAAGAACTTTTGAAAAATTTGAAATCACAAGATTTTACAAAGCTCAACAGCTTAAAATCTTACGACTTTTCAACTTTATACGCAACCATTTCCCACGATAAATTAAAGTCCAGGCTTTTTGATATCGTTGACAGCTGCCTTTTTAATGAAAATAGAACTCGTAATTTTACTTACCTTGTCATTGGTCATTTGCAAAATAACTTTGTTAAAAAAACATTCTGATTGTACACACAAATACTCTGAAGTTGACATCAAAAAGATGTTTGAGTTTCTGATTGACAATATCTATGTTGTTTTTGGAGACCAGGTCTTCCAACAATCAATTGGAATTCCCATGGGTACCAATTACGCCCGTTATTAGCAGACCTATTTTTGTATTCATATGAAGCAGAATTTGTGCAAAATCGTATGTTTGAAAAGAAGAAAACACTTGTTTTGGCCTTCAACTCGACATTTAGATATATCGATGACGTATTGTCAATTTACAACGGTAATTTCTATTCTTATGTCAATACGATATGTCCTGGTGAGCTTGATATGAAAGAGTCTGACACCTCTGTTTCATATTTTGATATTTACTTGAAAAAGACGTTAATGGTAATCTAACTACCAAGCTCTATGATAAACGTGATGACATTAACTTTTCTATCGTCAACTTCCCTTACTTCTGCAGCAATATACCTTCATCACCTGCGTACGGAGTTTATATATCTCAGTTTATTCAATACCCAAAAGCATGCTCTACATATGAACAATTTCTAAAACGAGGCAAATTATTGACAAACAAGTTGATGAAACAAGAATATCAGCTGTCTCGTTTAAAGTCATCATTTCGCAAGTTCTATGGTCGATACAATGACCTTGTCAGCAAATACAATTTATCATTGAGTCAAATGCTGACTGACGTTTTTCATACTAATTGTTAGACCATTTTTTATACGAGGGTTGTTCGAAAAGTTCGTGGACAACTGTGATATCTTTTTTATTTGACGTCATATGTTATCCAAATTTGGTAGAAATATTTTAACAATAAATCCAAATGATTTGTATTAAATTTTTCCGAAATTTAACGATTTATTAAAAACTTATCCAGATTCTAAAAATGCAAAAATCGGATCGCGGAGCAGGTCAAAATTTAGTAAGTTACAGACAATACACAACAAATAACGTATGAAGTCATATTCTCTGTAAAATGGATCAAGAACGAAAAACAACCTAGAAATTCAAAATAAGAATTGTTACATCGACTCGTATACCAAATTTTGGTTTTATATTTTGCTTTGTTGAAAAGAAGTCAACTTGAGAAGATAGGTAGTCCTTATTGAAAACGACAAAATCTATGACGTCGTAGAACGTCACGGAGCAGCAGATAACGATTCAGTTTTGTGCTTTACTCAGGGAAAATCCGGAATAAACTCTAAAAATGTTAAAGGAATCAAGAAAATATGTCACAAGCGAGTTGTGCATGTGTGTACAAATAGTACAGGCAGTATTTGAGTGACAGAGACTCTGTATCGGATGAGGATGATCTGTGAAGAAACTGTTTAACTGTAAAAATCTGAACAAAACTTTAAAAAGTTGGAACGTCAAGGAAAGACATAGGCGCTTCAGAGTTGCTTATCCTGTGAAAGCAGAGTTAAGTTTTTAAAAAAATTAAAACCTTAACAAAGGAAATTATACAATGAGAGCAATTCTTTAAAAAAATAAATGTCATGCATTAGAAAAAATATTTAATGAATGGGCATTGGATTAAACTGTGTGAAATTTATAGGGATAGTATTTTTTAGAAATTCTCGACGTCGATGTTCTGACGTTACATTGCCGTTAAGTGTGCTCCGCGGGTACAAAACATGCTGATTTTAAAATGAAGTAAATTGATTTCTGTTAAATCGAATGGAATGAAACTTTACACATCAACAAAACAAATATTTTTACATATTATAATGTGCTTATTTTAAATTTCTATCGAGTAGTATAACAAATATTGACATCGTCCACGAACTTTTCGAACAACCCTCGTACACTGAATTAACGTCGAATTTTCCCGTTATTTCCCGATCATGACAAGGAAAACACGGCGGGTGTGCCGGTCGGCAGGGGATGCTCACTCCTCCATGGTACCTGATCCCACCTCCTATGTATTGGAGGTCCGTGTTTGCCCTGCTTCTATTTTGTATTGTTTAATGGACTTTTGAGCTTGAATACTGTTCGTAATCTCCATATATTTCATCGTAAGAAATCGCCGAGTAAATACTAATTCTAGAAAGACAACAAGTCTATTGTATCTCGCTGTTTAAATTTAAGCTTATGATGATATGGTATAAAAATGATATCAATTACATAACGTTAACCAAATTCAAGACTAAATTTAATTTCGATCCATTTCGCGGTACTTTTGTCATCAATGTGTCTATTTGATGACGCTTTAGGAAGTTAATTTGTTACATTGGGTGTCGGAGAAAAGTTTTCTTACTGATTAATAGCTGGTGAAAGCTCGCTAGATGTCATTCTTGTCATTATGAAGAATTTCAAAAGCGAAACATTCAATCAACAAGAAACCGCAAATTTAAAAGAATTGTCGAGTTTCGGGACTTTGAACTTTCAACATGTTTAAGGATTCTTAAGACGAAAATAAAGTGTTGTTCCATTCTATTACAAGTATATTGAAAGTAACAAGATTTTTTTTTTAATTCAGTGGTTAACGTCTTTATCCAATCAATGCATTTATATACTTTTTAAAAAATCTTTTGCTTACAGTTTTTGTAAAAAGCGCCTTTTCTTGAGAAGATTAACATATAAAATGGCTTAAAGACTTTGAGGCAGATTACAAACGAACATAGACAGGACTCATGCGCTTAGCTGCAGAAGATTGATTGGCAATAACATCTCTTAATATTTGTTTCCTATAAATCAACACACTTCTAGACAACATGCTTTGGGCTATATTATTCCTTGGAATTTATTTCAAAACAGATAAATGAAGATCAAGAGTCCCAGAAGAAACATTTTCATATTGCATATATTGGTCCAACGGTAAGCTCTCAGTATACAAGTGGGACATAATTTAGCCATCAGGAAAACAAAACAAAATCCATTGACGTTTTTTAACTTTCTTACCCGTCATTTGTAAAACAACATGAGATGTTTGTAAAACACTTAAGCCCCCTCCACTAAATTGGAATTTTTCCAAGTCCAAGGGGCATAAATCTGTCAATAATCGCCGCGACCGTACTCAAAACACAACTTGACCTAGAAATTCATCTGATAAATATGTATACTAAATTTCATTTCAGTATGTGCAACCTCTGTGAAGAAAATGAAGGGAAACTGCAAAGAATTGGAATTTCTAAGTTCAAGGGGCTTAACTCTATCAAAAATAGAGCGATCCTACCCAAAACAGAACCTGGCCTAGATGTTCATTTGATAATTCTGTATACCAAATTTCAAATCAGTATTTGCAACCTCTGCGAAGAAATGAACGGAAACTGCAAATAATTGGAATTTTTCTAAGTATAAAGGGCATAACTCTGTCAAAAATGGCTTGATCGTACCCAAAACAGAACTTGACCTTAATATTCATCTGATTAATATGTATACCAAATTTCATTTCAGTATGTGCAACGGTTGTGAATAAAATGAACGGAAACTAAGTCGACCGACAGACGGCAGCAAAGCAATAAAATGCCCTTCCTTCTTCGAAGGGGGACATAAATAAACTGATTTACGATTATTAAGCTGTGGTGATGAAAAATGAATGATTTCTCTTTTAAAATTAAGCAAAAATTTTACGATAAACAGATGAGAACAAAATACAGTAAAACTCGATTAGTACGAAGACGGGAACAGCGAATGTACGGATATAGCGAAGTTTTCTGGAATCCCCGGCAGTTTTCTTTACATTTCATTGTCAATTTTTACGGTTATAAAGAATTAACAGATAAAATCAATCACCTTTGTGTTCCACAGAGGCAAAAAAAAAAACCCAGTAACGACGTTTACTTTTATGACGAATTCATAAAAGTCGACGAAAATTGGAAATCAATTCAACATCTATTTTTTTTAATTAAGGAGGCTGAGGGGTCGAATAAATTAACCACCAGATCTAACTTAAATTTTTAGATATGATATCTTAAGCTGTCAACAACCATTTGGCAAAGAAAAATTTCATACATTTTAGTTTTGAAATTTGATCATTTTGTATATCTTTATATGCAGCTCTTCTTCTAAAGGTGGTCAAAATAATAGTATGAAAATGGCCACACCCCCCAGCCCCTTGAAGTTATATAAGTATTTGTTATTCCACGAGTACATGGATATTACGTTGGTTATGTTTGATATTTATCTTATACTTTTCATAATTTTTCCAGTAATTAAAATCAATTTAGAATTGGAATATGAGATGTTATGATGATTGCAATTCTTTATTCACTGGATATATAATCAATGATCTGTCCCTATACATGTAATCAGTCTTAGCTATGCTGCCTCCATTAATAACACAGCTAGTTAACCGTTGTTCTATGATTTATTGTGACGAAACATAACGAAACGAAACGAAACGGTGAAAAGCTACAATAGACAAAGACAATAATAAGTGTGATGTACAATGCTCAAAGTTCAGAAAATTAATGAAAAATCTGAAAAAATACCTTTGCTCAATAAATATGACACAATACTGAGAAATATGTGTGTGTAAAATTAGCATTACTTTACAAATATCTGCATACATTGACAAAACATGGAAAAATTTAGACACTCAAAATTCCCGGTAAAATTTGACAGAAAATTCACACACATAAGAAAGAAATACTTTGCCGAAAATATATAAGCGTTATACAAATAACTGAAAGTTAAATATATGAAATACTTACATTGTGGGCAGAGTAAACAACTGTAATAACAGTATGACTGTACATGTACTGAGTAAGGCGACGAGTGCCAGAAAAATCTCGTGCAACACGCACGGAAATAACAATTACAAAACAAAAAAGAAAACCAAGGCATGCCGGAAGAAAAAATTCCGGACTACAAGACGGCACACTCCTCGCCTGATATTAACAATATCATCAAATTTCAAAAAAGATATTTAAGATAATGTAAACATGTAATAAATTAAATTACAGTCCATTTACAGTCTCTTGTATTATCTGTTGCACTGAATGACAGAAATGTTCACTGTTCCACAAGAACGATAAGTTCTGTAACCGGACGCACATAAGTTTTAGGTTCACCATTCGCGATTATACGAATTATCACTTTACGCACTAAATCATCATCACTTGGTAGAGACTTGACAACGATTCCCATTGGCCAAGAATTACGGGGTAGTTCTTTATCGCAAAGTAACACCACATCACCAGATGATAGATTTCTTTGGGGTAGATTCCACTTACGGCGCATCTGAAGAGTGTTCAAGTATTCTGTCTTCCATCGTCTCCAGAAAATAGATGCTAAGTGTTGTACCCTCCTCCACTGTGTCTGTAACAACTCGCTCTTGTTAACATGATCAGAGAACAGTTTGTTGTCTTTAACACTTGTTTTCTGAGTGAGTAGAGTTGATGGGGATAACACAAATGAATTCTCAGGATCTGTAGGTACCGACACAAGGGGTCTTGAGTTGATTATGGATGAAGCTTCTGCTAGGAACGTAGTGAGCACCTCATGCGTTAAACTCCTAGATCCGTAGTCGAGTAGCATAGCATCCAGTATACGTCTGGTGATCCCAATCATACGTTCCCACACTCCTCCCATGTGAGAGGAGTGGGGAGGGTTGAAGATCCACGTTGTTCTCTGCTCGTTGAGAAAGTTGTGGAGATGTTCATCCTCTACATTTATCACATTGACCTTTAACTCCTTGGCAGCACCAATGAAATTTGTTCCTCTGTCAGATCGAAAGACGTGAACAGGCCCACGAATGGCGATAAATCGACGGAGCGCATTTATAAATGAAGATGACGTCATTTCCTCTATGACTTCGATATGTACAGCCCTGGTAACGAGGCAAGTGAATAGAGCAGCCCATCTTTTACTGTTTGCTGCGCCACCTCTGGTACGTCGTGTGATGATATTCCACGGTCCAAAAATGTCAACTCCAACGTTAGAGAAGGGTGGTTGTCCTGGTATGAGACGATCCTCAGGTAAGTTAGACATTTTCTGGTATTCTGGTACTTTTCTAAGCTTCCTGCAAGTGACGCACTTGTGAAGGACAGATGACACAAGTCTTTTACCTCCGACGATCCAAAATCCAGATGAACGAATATGACCCTCTGTAATATGACGTCCTTGGTGTTTGACATCTGAGTGAAGTTTCCTGACGATAAGAGTAGTTACATGATGTTTTGCGGGTAGAATCATTGGATTCTTGAATGAAGCATCAGCACTGAGGTTTCGCAAACGACCACTAACACGTAAAATGCCTTCACTGTCAATGAACGGGTCTAGTTTTTGAATAGGACTGTTTTTTGACAAAGGTTTAGAGTCCTGTAAGTTTTCAATTTCCTCAGAATAGAATTTCTGTTGAATGTCTCTGATAATGACCATTTCAGCTTTGCACAGAAGGTCAACATCACTCATCATGTTCTCTGCTTTACGACACTTCTGAATAAATCCATAAACTTTAGCAACCACTGCTACAAGTTTGTTCCACTTTGAGAATTTTGTGAGGAAATCATTGCTCAGGCCGTAAGCTGATTTTGTCTCAATGTCAGTTTTGTTACAGCGGATTTCCTTGTCTTCCTCGGGACTCACAAGAGGAAAATGTTCTTCAGAAGTTATGATGTCTGTTTTTTCTAGGTTAGAGATCCAGACACAGTTCTGCATTTCCCTCGGGAGAATTCCTCTCGTGCTAACATCTGCTGGGTTGATTTCACTACGTATGTAGGACCATTGTGACGGATCACTTAGACTGAGAATGTGAGCAATACGATTAGCGACGTACACAAAAAATCGTTTCTTAGCATTGTTTATGTATCCTAACACAATCCGACTGTCACTAAAATATTTCACATCGTCTATTTCTATCTTTAGCTGTTCTTTTGCTGTTTGTCCTACATTTACAGCAAGTACCGCGGCACAAAGTTCTAGTCTAGGGATTGTATGTCCACTGACAGGGGCCACTTTCGCTTTCCCTAAAACGAAGCCTTGAGAAGTAGAACCATCGGGATAGTGCACCTTTAAATAGCAAACAGCAGCTATGGCTAGTTCGGACGCATCACAGAAAATGAGTAGTTCTTTCCTATGTGCTTCGCTCAGATTAGGAACAATCACTCGAGGAATTTGTAACTTTTCCAAGTCGGGTAAGTCATTCTTCCATTTCTCCCATTCTTCAAGTAGGTAATCAGGTAGGGCTTCATCCCAGTCTGACGTGTCTGACACTACTTTCCGCAAAATGATCTTGCCCTGAACAATAACTGGGGCGATGAATCCGAGAGGATCATAAAGACGGTTCACAACAGAAAGTACACCTCTCCTTGTAGACGGTTTGTTTTCACTAGAAACTTTGAATTTAATGGTATCTGTCTGTAAGTCCCACAGAAGTCCAAGACTGCTTTGAGTTAAGGCATCCTTATCGAAATTCAGGTCAACAAGGTTCTTGGCAAGGTCATTAGAATCAAAGGCTTCCATAACTTCTTTGACGTTAGATGCGAATTTGTGAAGTCTTATGTTACCATACTCCTTCATGGCATCCTGAGTTTTGTGTATGAGGCTGACTGCCTCATAAGTAGTTGCACAAGATTTCAAGCCGTCGTCTACGTAAAAGTCGTTCACAATGAAGTCTTTCACTTCCTGTCCATGGGTCTTAGCAGCTAGCTCACCAATGCGACGTAAACCATACATTGCCACGGAAGGAGAGGAACGATTGCCAAATACGTGAACTTTCATGCGGTAAGTAACCAGTGGTTTTTCAAAATCATTATCCTTGTGCCACAAGAAACGTAAATAGTCACGATGGCCTTCATCCACCAGAAATGAGTGAAACATGCTTTGAATGTCAGCAACTACGGCTACTCTTTCCTTCCTGAAACGAATGAGAATTCCCAGGAGATTGTTTATGAAGTCAGGTCCTTGTAACAGCTGTTGGTTCAAGGACACACCCTTGAATTCCGCTGAGGAGTCGAAGACACCACGAATTTGATCAGGTTTATGAGGATGGTAGACTCCGAAAAGTGGAAGGTACCAATGTTCCTTATCCGGTAGTATATATGGACCCAATTCTGCATGATCACAGTCAAATATTTTCTGCATAAATGTAGTGAAATGTTCCTTCTTGACGTTGTTTTTTCTTAAGGAGGCATCAAGACATTTAGCACGAAACAATGCTTGTGAGTAGTTGTCTGGAAGTTGTTCACGATTTTGCCGGAAGGGCAATGGAGCAGTCCATTTTCCTTCGGTTGGATCAAGATGAAACTTGTCGTCCATAATCTTCAGAAAAGTGCGATCTTCAATCGAGAGGCCGAGTTTATTGTCATCTGGTGTTTTCTTGAAGATATCTGTTTTTCCGATGACAGTCTTGTTCGTAGTGATGACAGTGTTCTGTATGTTTAACGTTTGTTTGCAAGGTTCCAACATTGTAGGTCGACCACTTTTATTGATAAAAGTTCTGTTGACGTGTAATGGTGGAATGTGTTTTCCAGACAAACAAACATCTCCAATAATTGTCCATCCTAAAGGAGATCGTTGAGCAAAAGGAAAACGTGGTGGTCCTAATCTCTGATCAATAACGTGATGTGCCTCTGGAAGATCCCGTCCGATAAGCAGGAGGACGTCCATAGATGGATCTAACGGATGTAGGTCTCGAGCAATATCCTGCAGGTGTGGATAATGACGAGCGATATCCGGTGTAGGAATTTCCGTCTGACTGTTTGGTATGTTATCGCACTCCAAGACAGGTGGTAATTTCAACTGATGATTGTCACTGATTGGCTCGATGACAAGGTTGTCAGCAACACGCCCACTACTGGTAACCTTGCCTGAACACGATTGCATTGTGTAGTCAACTGGCAGAGTTTTGATACACAAAGAGTCAAAAAGGTAACTTTTACCTAGAGTTTTGTTGCTTTGGTCATCCAACATAGCGTAAGTCACAATCGATGCTTGACGTTGACCTTGAACATATACGCGCACTGGTACAATCCTTGCACACGACTTTCCACTAAATTCACCACAAATATCAGTACAGTTAGAAGAAACTGACTGCTTCACATTTCCAGAAAGTGAGTTTTCCTCCTCGCCATGGTTTAGTCGGGAAGAAGAATTCCTGGACATCTGACGGTTACTAACATCCTCATGAAGAGCTGTACAGTGGTAGGTACTTTTACACACATCACACAAAACTTTGGATTTGCATCGATTAGCGAAATGATCTGACGTTTCACAACAACGAAAACAAATGTTATGATCTCGTAGAATGTGTTTGCGTTCCTCGATACTTTTGGTTCTGAAAGCTTTACACTTGTTTATAGTATGTCGAGATCCTTTGTGAATCAAACACTGATGTCCGCCATTCACTGTTTCTGATGAAATGTCAGTTTTGTGGGTAAATACGGCAGATTTAACTTTACTTTGTCCTTTGCGATCAAGGCGGTTCTCCTTATTAGAATCATCAAATATCAACCCAGGATCATTTCTGATGATGCTCATCTCACCAATGAATGCCACAAACTCACTGAAAGGAGGAAAGATTACACAGTGTTCTTTCTTGTAATGGACAACACGAGTTATCCACTTCTCCTGGAGATAACGAGGAAGTCGTTGAACAATTGGTTTTAATCCAAGGGATGAATCAAGGTATGAAAACATCACACTGTATTCTGGAATAGCTTTCACGGCCTGCACCTCGCAAAGTAGGTCATGAAGTTCATACAACTTCTTGTGGTCTGCGAAATCTGTTATAACTTGCAGACGAGATTTCAGGCTTGATTCTATCAATTCAGGCGATCCGAATCGTTCATCCATACGTTTCCAGATATTGAATAAGCATAGTTCTGGATTACTCGCACATGAAGCTCTAAGACTCATAATCAGTCTGTTAGCTTCTGAGTTTTTGTTTGTACAATTGGTGAGAAGAGTTAATTCTTCCAGTGGTGAACACCTTATTTCTGGCACCATCGTCTTAAACTGTGTTTTCCACACTACATATCGATCTGGTTTGTCATCAAAACGCTGTTGTTGAAAACTTTCCAACAGTAAGTTCTTTTTGAGTAGGAAATTTGAGGCATCTGAATAGTTCTGTGATGGTAAATTCACGGTAGACTGTGTTGGTATCTGTAGCAGTGGAGAACAATAATTGTCAACATTTCTGTGAAGATGGTTTGTACGAGTTCCACTATTGAATATGAAAGGCTCAGCATTGGGGTTCAATGTGAGATTGTCAACAAAGTTTCTTGTTTTCTGCTCACCAGATACACTAGGAACACTGGGTTTTAAATCTTGATGTTCCGTGGTTTCTTCCTCCTCTTCAAGTTCAAATTTAAGACGCATATTTGCAATGTCCAGTTCTTCCTGTTTTTGCAGTAGATCCAATTCCACATCTATATCTTCCTGTTGCTGTTGACTTTGAGCTTTGTGGATTTTGTCTTCTAGGGTAATTTTGGACTTTTGTTTTTTCAGTTTTGCAGACTGTTCAGCAATTTTAAGGCGGGTTTTAGCTTCCTCCACTTTCTGTTGTGAACGTCTACTAAGGGTTGATGATTTAGAACTTGCTGTCTTATGAGACGGGTTAGAGTTCACTTCCAACTGGACCAAATCAATATCATCTTGTACTTTCACTAAAGCGTTTTGAACCTTCTTATTTATCTCGTTAAAATTCTTCCGTATAGTGTCTAACTCTTGTGTACTATCAGCTGTGTGTTTTCTATCGAGGTAATCACCAAATTCTTCATGATAATCTTTGTAACGCTTGAAACTGTCCTCAAGTTTTTCTTTCACTGACTTTAATGCGTAGATCTCTTTTGCAGATGAAGCACATTCTATCAATACACTTTCAATATCCTCTGAGAAGCGTAAAAGTATGTCTCTATACCTCTGAACTTTTTCTTGATATTGTTCTTGTGCTTTCTGTGTGAGGGTGTGCACTCTACGTGACGTATCTTCATCCTCTGTAGAAATCTTCCCCAGGTTATGAGCCATGTCTATGTAGTTGAAACTCTGGAATGTTTCACTAATCTTTTCACTATGCTGCCTCCATTAATAACACAGCTAGTTAACCGTTGTTCTATGATTTATTGTGACGAAACATAACGAAACGAAACGAAACGGTGAAAAGCTACAATAGACAAAGACAATAATAAGTGTGATGTACAATGCTCAAAGTTCAGAAAATTAATGAAAAATCTGAAAAAATACCTTTGCTCAATAAATATGACACAATACTGAGAAATATGTGTGTGTAAAATTAGCATTACTTTACAAATATCTGCATACATTGACAAAACATGGAAAAATTTAGACACTCAAAATTCCCGGTAAAATTTGACAGAAAATTCACACACATAAGAAAGAAATACTTTGCCGAAAATATATAAGCGTTATACAAATAACTGAAAGTTAAATATATGAAATACTTACATTGTGGGCAGAGTAAACAACTGTAATAACAGTATGACTGTACATGTACTGAGTAAGGCGACGAGTGCCAGAAAAATCTCGTGCAACACGCACGGAAATAACAATTACAAAACAAAAAAGAAAACCAAGGCATGCCGGAAGAAAAAATTCCGGACTACAAGACGGCACACTTAGCTGTTACGAAGGAATCGGCGTCACCCAAGAGGATTGATTGTCAAGATTGTGTATTGTTTAACGTCCCTTTTTTCACTCATATGGAGACGCCAACACTTGCCGGTGGAAAGCTGCAATTTTTTTCTAATACCCGGCACTCAGGGCCATTGAGCAGTGAGGGATCATTTCGTGCCAACACCTGCGACACGTGACCTCGGTTAATACGGTCTCATCCGGGGGACCGATCTCCACGTCCCACAGTGGGATTCGAACCGTAAGGATCAACTCCTTTCTCCGTGACTCTATACTCTAACCAGTGCGCCTCGTGGGCGACCACACAAAAACAAACCAAATATGAAATTATTAAATGTGTAGAGGAGTCAATTATCCCTAAAGAAAGAAGCGACTCCAAATTTTGGATTTTTCCAAACACCCTTAGTACGATTAAAAAAAAAAGAAGATTGAAATCTACAAAAATTATGAAACACCAGATCTTACCCCATTCAAAAAGCGGTACCTACTAGGGAAACATGACAACGTCGACAATGCACTTTTCAAATGGTCCACGGAAAAACACGTTAAAAATATTTCAATATTAAGTATCCTTCTAAAAAGGCAGAAGAATTCCGAGTTTCGGGCAAACAGAGGCTGGTTAGACCTCGATCGGGTGTTCCTCAATTTGTGGTGAGCGTGGAGAAGTCCAACTTTGAAAATGATGGAAAACTATTAAAATTCAAAATTAATCAAGGGGAAGCCTTGTGATATATTTAACGAGGATGAGACAGGTCTACTTTATAACCCCCGAAAAAAACCTCTCTGACTGAAAGGTGAAAAATGTTCAAGGAGCAGAAAATCAAAGGACAGATAAATCTTATTAGATGTCTTAAATATAGACGGTGCCGAAAAATTAAAACTCCTTGTAATTGGCAAATACATGTACAAGTGAGGTGTGTCAGAAGACAATCAATCGGCAATCCTCGGCTGACTCCGACAAGCTCCATTAAAACCTCGGATGTGATGGGTGAAGGAATACGCATCAGGTCGCTACATTTCTCCGCCGGAAACTGCCTTGTCACCCATTTATTATTTCGCATTGCATAAAGTTCTTCGAAATGGTAGCTTATGTTAGTAGGCTTTGAAAGCAAGAACAAAGTTTCAGGCGTGTTCGAGGATAGTGTGTGAAGTACCAGTCATCCAAATGGAAGGCAATTCCGATTCAATCAGTAAGCCTTAGAAGGCACCTTCAGATATCAGAAAATATAGCGAAAAAAAAAACACGTGTAGTTTGGAATTTATTGAACCCATTTTATATGAGGTTTTTCTGTAAATTGTAACTATTAAATATTTCAAGAAATGCCTCACATATCCTTAATTATGCAATTCAGCAAAACAAAGAGGACACAGCGCACAACCGAAAAATCTGTTGATTAAATCGCAGATGGTGTAAATTGAGTTCTCATAGATTGAAATTATTGTTTTCTGGGAAAGATAAGCTTGACGGGAAAAAATATATAAGAAGCTTCACAGAATTTATTTTTCAGAAACATGCTTAAAGCAGATAAATACAAACTTTGGATCAGTAAATGTTAACGAAAATTCAAATAAAATGATTGCAATGACGGCTCCGAAAGCACAGCACAACCTGGATCAGGTCTTTAACAGTTAGCGATGCCCCCCCCCCCCAAAGATTGCATATTTATTTAACTAGTAAACCAGCTAAATAAAAGAGGAGGATCAAACGTTTTCCGTTTCATGGGTAAGTGAATTGTGCGTTGGAAAATCCTATCAAGACTAAAGGACACCAACAAATATCTTACCACAATCTGCTGTAAACTCGAACATCAACGTTCTTGATTTAGAGATGACTGATTTAAGTACACACACCGTCCAACATAACCGTCTAACATAATCTCGCCAGCAAGTCGTACCGTACAATATATCGTATCGAGATTTCAAAAACAAATTATCAACTGACCCCTTCTTCATCCTATTTGATTGGTGCTTCTAAGTGCCAGAGTCCACCGCGTGGCGCAGTGGTTAGAGCGTCTGCTCTAGAGTCGAGAAATAAGGAGTTGAACCTTACGTCGCAGGTTCGAATCCCACTGTGGGACCTGGCCTGGGGGCTATAAAACTAAGACGAGCTCACTCCGATCCCAGTATCACTTTTACTAAAGAAATACTTTTCGTTTCACGTTTTGTAGATGTTTACTAAGTATTTGTTGAACTGATAATTATTATCCAAAGTATTTATCTTAAGCATTTTTAATAATCTAAAATAAATTTCTAAAACAGGGAAGATAATTAATAGACAAAAATCATTTGAGCAAGAAATATTTTTTTTTTAGGAATCAGATACGAGAAGGATATGGAAATAACGAACAGTATTCAATCTCAACGTCCATTAAACAATATACAAAATAAGAGCAGAGCAAACACGGACCTCCGAAACATCAGAGGTGGGATCAGGTGCCATGGAGGAGTGAGCATCCCCTGCCGACCGGTCACACCCGCCGTGTGCTCGTTGTCATAATCAGGAAATAACGGGAAAAATCCGTCGTCAATTCAGTGTATAAATAATGGACTAACAATTGGTATGAAAAACGTCAGTCAGCATTTCATTCAATGATAAATTGTATTTGCTGACAAGGTCATTGTATCGACCATAGAATTTACGAAATGATGCTCGTGCGTATCGAATCAACTGAGATATAAATACTCCGTATGCAGGTGATGAAGGTATATTGCTGCATAAGTAAGGGAAGTTGACGATAGAGAAGTTAAAGTCATCACGTTTATCATATAGCTTGGTTGTTAGATTACCATTAGTGTCTTTTTCAAGTAAAATATCCAAGTATGAAGCAGAAGTGTCGGACTCTGTGGTATCTTTTATCTCAAGCTCACCAGGATATATCGTGTCGACGTAGGAATGGAAATTATCATTATTAATTGACAATACGTCGTCGATATATCTAAATGTCGAGTTGAAGGCCACAGCAAGTGTTTTCTTCTTTTCACGCATAAATTTTGCATAAATTCTGCTTCATATGAATATAAAAATAAGTCTGCTAATAACGGAGCGCAATTAGTACCCATGGGAATTCCAATAGATTGTTGGAATACCTGGTCTCCAAAAACCACATAGATATTGTCAATCAGAAACTCAAGCATCTTCTTGATGTCAACTTCAGAGTACTTATGTGTGCAATCAGAATCTGTTTTAACAAAATAATTTTTCAAATGACCAATGACGAGGTAAATAAATTTACGAGTTCCATTTTTGTTGAAGAAGCAGCTGTCAATGATATCAAAAAGCCTGGATTTTAATTTGTCGTGGGGAATTGTTGTGTATAAAGTTGAAAAGTAAGTTTTTAAGCTGTTGATTTTTGTAAAGTCTTGTGATTTCAAATTGTCCAAAAGTTCTTTAGAATTTTTAAGTATCCACATCTGATTTACACCACTTCTTGAATATATAGTTGTACAGTACTCAAATTAGGATGAAGTTTCTCAATGAGGGTGAAGGAGGTGAACACTGGGAGTTTGAATTTTTTATATCAAAAGTATTTATTTCACTCCAAAAATCAAAACTTATTTGTAACTCAGATATATTTATAATGTCAAATATATATGTCAAATTCAAATTGATTGCCTCAAGTGTTTATACCTGCGAATTCATATTTTAAGTTGAGGAGGTAAGCTTTTCCTTTTGCTTGCTTGATGTGTGTGCTTTAGTCCTGGAATGCAATAAAAACAACTTGTACTTATTAAAACATGGGAGATGAATATCAATTTATTTTTAATTCAAAATGACATTAACATGAGATAAATTAATTTATACAACTGCTAATTGCATTCTCATTCAGGTTGACTAAATACATGTATAATTTGAGTAAGATTAATTACAATTTTTTTTCTGTTTTTCAGGTTCCAGGTTATCCAGAGTGGTCAAATGTCAAGTTCGACCATGATCCAACAATCTACACATATAAACTTTCACAAGACTATAGTGCTGGTGATTTAGAAATTTTGATGCAATGTACTGTAATACATAATTTTGAGAAAGTTTGTGACTATCTTTTGTCCAGGGATTGAGTTTTAGGCCATGTGTGTCAGTTGACGCTTCCTTTTTTATCAGGTGACAGATAGAAAATCGTGCTTGTCATGAATTCAAATGTCCATAACTTCCTTATTTTTAAACCTAGACAAAAACTTCATTGAATTCGTCTTTAAAAACCCTTTCTTTTGATATGCAATAATGTAGGATTTAAAAAAAGAGTAAGATCCTTTGTCCTCGTTACATTAATTGATAAGAGTGAAGCATATGGAGATAACGATTAGTATTCAAGATCAAAGGTCCATAAAACAATACAAAATAGGAGCAGAGCAAACACGGACCTCCAAAACATCAGAGGTGGGATCAGGTGCCATGGAGGAATGAGGATCCCCTGTCAACCGGTTACAACCACCGTCTGCTCCTTTTAATGATCGGGAAATAACGGAAAAATCCGTCGTCAATTCAGTGTGTAAATAATGGACTAACCATCAGTATTGAAATGTCAGTCAGCAGTTGACTCAATGATAAATTGTATAATTATGCTAACAAGGTGTGTTTTGTCGAAGACCTTATTTTCAAATATAGTGCACCATGGACTGCCCATAAAGCACGTACAGCTTACATATAATGGATCAAGAGAAGATGAGCTTTTGAACACACTGAAAGAGAAGAAAATACTGCTGAAAAACAATCATCACCTGCCTGGACTTTAACAATATAATTATATCAATGATAAAAGTGAAGTTTATTCCCTGAACCACATTAAATCTATTATTTGAAAACGGAGAAAATGACTCCCAACTTAAAAGTTTGAATGAGACTAGGATAGAAATCTGTTTTCAGGCACATCATGTACATCTAGGCTAGTAGTTGGGGTCACCCGCGTGGCACAGTGGTGGAGCGACTGCTCTAGAGTCTTGGCGTACAGAGATAATCCTTACAGTTTCGAATTCCAATATG